CCCCGGTACTTACACTTGCCTCTTCTCCCGTTTCCGATTTTCGTATTTCTTCAAACTCTCAGTGGAGTCAATCCATGTCTAGTTATTGATTTAGATAGAGGGTTGAAGAAGGTTTGGCCTTTCAGTTTTAGGGTTTTTGATACAAGAACATAAGTTAGCCAAACATGTTCCCACATGGCATTGTATATGTTGTAACGATCTTCTTGGGTTGCTTTTTTTTGTGAGCTACTTTATAGGGATACAAGGAGAAAGAGTAAATGGCTCACTTGAAGTCGAAGATTACAAGCATCCACTTGTCTGGATTGACTTGGAAATGACTGGTATTTCACTTTCCCTGCTAATTATACATTTTTATTACTTTACTTGCCACATATAATTAATTGTTCATCATGGAAACAGGATCTCAGTCCTTCCACATGTTGTCCATTATCCATTTTCTTGTTCTTACTCTATTGTGTAGGTCTGAATGTTGAAGTTGATAGGATATTGGAGATTGCATGTATTATTACTGATGGAAAATTGACCAAATCAGTTGAGGTATATGTTTCTCTCTCTGCCTTACCTTCAAATAATTCTCTATTTCTCTACATGTTTACACAGCTTTATTATCTTTTGAAACTTCCTGAGGGTCCTAGAATTTCTCTTGAAAATATACTGATACTTCTTTCCATCCAGAAAAGTGGTAGTTTCTTAGTCGATGAGCTTCACGTTGAGAGAATTTCTAAGAGAAAGAATGTCAAATTCTGACCTGTGAACATTATTGTGATCTGATGGCAAAAGAGATGAGAATGTTCTTGTAAGAATGTGGAACTACATAGTATTATTCAATTGTGATTATGATACTACTGTTTTTAAGGGAATTTGCATGAGCTGCCACCTCTCGCTCGTTTTCATTTGACTCAATTGCTCTTCCACCAAAAATTTGTTGATTCATTTATGTACCTGCTTTTTCCGGATTTGTTATTGAAAATGTGTCTGCTGTTAGGGTCCAGATTTAGTTGTACATCAAACAAAAGACTGTCTGGATAAAATGGGTGATTGGTGTCAAACTCATCATGGAGCCAGCGGTAAGTTTCTCTTTTTTAGATATTTGTCGTGCTAGATTTCTGTGTTTCCCGTTCGGAACTATATGACATTTGAACAATCACTTCAGGTTTGACAAAGAAAGTGCTCCTTAGTACCATAACTGAAAGGCAAGCTGAACAAGAGGTATTTCGGTTTGATCTGTCGTTAATTTGGCTGAAATAGTAAAAGAGCATCTCTATCATTTTCTAATTACGAAAGCTTTCAGTAGAATTTGGTGATGCTATTATATTCTGGAATCCTTTGCAGGTCATCGAATTTGTTAGAAAGCATATTGGTTCTGAAAATCCACTTCTAGCTGGAAACTCTGTGTATGTGGACTTCCTCTTCTTAAAGGTACCTAGAACTTGGATATCCCCACCACTCTATTGAAAGCTAAACAGTTGCCTCTGGATGGTAACCAAACTGTGTATTTTACAGAAGTACATGCCAGATTTGGCTGCCCTTTTCCCTCACGTACTAGTCGATGTCAGTAGTGTCAAGGCTTTATGCTTCCGATGGTTCCCCAGAGGTAACAATGAATTCTGTAAAATAGATTGCCTTCTGTGTAAAAAAAAGGATGAATCCGTCTAGTAAACAACACGACTCATAGGCAGAATCRGCATATCTTTGTGGGTTGAATACAGAGAAAAGGAGAGCTCCTGCGAAGGCAAACAATCACAGAGCCATGGATGATATAAGAGAAAGCATCAAGGAGCTTAAGTACTACAAGGAAACCATATTCAAAGCACATGGTACAAGGAGATGAGTGGACTGAGGTCCTCCATATGTCTACTTAATTGGAAGGAATTCGTTTTAGCTTTGGGAAATCCGCGTTTTGCTTCTAAGTTATTCTCTTGACTGTTGTATTCTGAAACCCAATTACAAGATGATCTTCAGTTATTGGAATCGTAAATATTATTTCCCAAGACAAGAAGTTACCATCTTCTTTGTTTGTTTGGAGATGAAGACATGTGTTTCCATTGCCCTAGGTTGATCCAAATTTATAATTTTCTCATATGGAAAGCTCTTTTAGTACAACAGTGATGAGCATGTACAGTTCTGTTGAAGTCCTCTCTCTCCATGACCTTCTTGTGCCCGTTTTGTAGATGAGTGATATGTACACTTCATCTTATGTATACAATTGTGTATGCATAGAAGAATGACTTGCGATCTGGTAAATTTGAGAGAGAGAGATGCCACATTGGCTTGAAACTTTTGTCGTCCTAAAGAAAGAAATGACAAGTTGTGTTTCATCTCGCAAAAGGATTCTTTTCAAACACTTACCCGACAATTCTCGATATGACTTTATAAGTGGTATTGCAGCACCTTTATCGGCTAATGCATTTCATATTTACACCTTTCTTACACAAA